TTAGATATTTACACAGCTAACAGCCATATATAGCAATAGGAACATTTGTGAGCTAGGGCGTTCGTGAACGTTGCCAGATCTCGCGAGAGAAAGGAAAGTCTTGAAAAAGTGGATTTTCTCCCGATTTGTGCATTCGAAAAAAACGCCATTTTAGTGTCAAAACATTGTCCATTTTAGTATCAGCAAATGGGAGATATGTGGCTTGTGAAAAAATGGGATCAATATTCACTTGTCTGACTGTGGAGCAAAACAATTGGTCATAATCTGCGTTCACTTCTCCCATTTGAGTAAATAGACTCAGGACCTGTGCCCCTAGTCTCCTAAAGGGACGGGGCACACTGACCCCCAGTGGGTCGTGTCCTTTCTCAATTGTCTCAGGTCCATGTGGACGTTTGTAGCCAAATTTGAAAAAATAATTCCCTTCAGGCGTTCCTGACATATCGCGTTCACAAGAATGGAGCGAACAGAAGGACGGCCCGAAAACATAACGCTTCCTGCAACTGCTGTCGCTGGCACAAGGACAAAAAGAGGGACATATCATTTATGTGACATTAAAGGTGAAACTGCATTACATGTGTGAGTTTGTACACTAAGCAGATGGGTATTTTTGATGCGTGAAATATTAAATCCAACACTAGAAACATCCTTTTCCCATGTGCTCTTTTTTAAGGACAGGATTCTGTGCATATTTTGTTTCATCATCATCTCATTTCATCACTTCCCTCCCCAATTACAACATTTATCTGATTCTTTTTCCTTTCCCATGATCCCATGTCCGATTGTATACTTCACACTTGTCTTGTTTGAGTGCACCGGAGAGTTGTGTGGCAGGTCTCTATTGCTCCACTCTGAATCGCTACTTCCCTACCTGCTTTATCTGCTGCTGCTGCGTTCAGTGTTAGCAGCTTTTCTCTGTGGAGCAGCAGATTGAAGGAGGCCCAAAGGCTCTCGATCCTCTGTCAGTCAAACCCCTCCCACTGCCCCCACACCGACACTATAAAACCAAGATGAAAGACACGGTGAGGATCAGTTCTCCCATCGCTGGTTTCATTTTACCTCTATAAAGATTAGCATTGCCAGGTGCGAAGCAGCAAATTACCAGTAAAAAGTGATGCTAACACTCCAGTGTGTGCCCAGTATCCCGCTAGTCTTTGTTTAGTTAAATTCAGTCATGGCTACCGTTTATCTGAATCCCATTTTAAGATGAATTAATTAACATTCTCACTGTCAAAGTTTGCTTTTACTAAATGTATAATCACAGTTGACGCATATACAGTACATATAATAATACTAATAATACTCCCATATAATGGACATAGAGGTCACAGATGTGGGTCGAAATGTATGGAGTGATTAATGTCCGCCTCCCAGCAGTGACAGTAATCTGCACGAGGCCATGGCTGACCAAAACATTCAGTCTGATTCTCTGGAACAGGACATTTGATTTAACTCCTCTTTCATGTTGACACTTTGAGTTGGTCCGCTGTGATGTGAGACGTGGGTGTAATATGTCCCGATGGGTGTAATATGTCCCGATGGGTGTAATATGTCCCGATGTGTCAAAATTAAACAGACATCTTCAGCATATGGACGGAGTTCCTGGCTGTGACCGATCTGGCTCGCAGACCGTGTGCATTTGCTGGCATATTTTGATCAGATCCCAGCTGTATGTATGATATTTGTGTATCTTCACTGAATTCTGTGCATTGATTGCATCAGGAGAGACTAGTTTAAGGGTATAAAGCCTTGTTGGTAAAGCAGATGAGGCATTAACCCATCGAGGGTTAATGCCTGATTATGGGGATAAGCGCTATAATCTGTCAATATCAAGTCAAGTCTAGTCTTAGTGCAGGTGGTGGTGGGAAAGTAGCGGTTGGTTGTTAGCATTAGCATCAAGAGATGTAAGCAGTCTGCTACAGCTCTTTAAGTTATGCCAACATCTAGGGAAATATTCATTTTACCCAGAGTCAGATCATATCAGTCTCTCTCTCTTTCTCTTTGCGTCCAGTTCAGACAAAGGTCCAAGATACGCTAAGGCTAGCTTAGCACTAAGACTGAAAAGAAAGCTAGCGTTACTCTGTCAACATGCAGTCATTTGCAGTGTTGATATGCATTTGGAACAAAGACTATAGGTAAATCCAACACAATTTGTAAGGAGAGTCCCACCATGTGGGTACTAATACATTTATTTCTACCGTAAATTGTGTAATTTACATTCTCCAACCCTGAGAAAGATTTTCTTCCAATGCAATTTGAACTGGTTCAGCGTATTTAGATGTGGTGAATAACAATTCCAGGGAGAACAGCTGCGATCATATCGCTGTATGGAGATTTGTCGATTTATCCCTGATCACACATCAGTACTTGAGACTGCGAGATTAGAGTGTATTAATGGCATTACTCTAAAAATAGACACTGTTTATCAGGTCAGCAGACATGAGCATGTATAGAAATGAGAGGATTTAACACTCATTATGGCGATGCTTCTGACAAGCCAAACTGAATCATGTTTTATCACATCATAGAGATGACTTGAATCGGAATTGATCGATTGTTTTGGCCACTTAAACTAGTGAAATCCACTATAAACACAACACTGACTTAATATAACCTTTTAAAAGTGTTTGCAAACAGTTGCCTATACATCCAGAAGACACAGAACAACATTGGCATTAATTTGGAGTGGTGTTAGTGATCACCTGATGGATGTTAAGTCTAGTACTCACTCTCTTATTAGCCTGTAGCTCTGTTTTGGTCTCCACCAACTCAAAAATACTATATGTCTCTCTATCTGCTAAATGCTCCACTATGTCCACCAGCTGGCTGCTAATCATCTGTCTATTATTATTGAATCTCTGCTGTCTCAGATCTTTGACACTGTTCAGTCTCCTGCTGAGCTATCCTGCTCGTTTGCTTGGCTTCTTGTCTGTTTGTTAGATTATGTTCCTTCTGGTTTTACCCGTCTTCTGTAATGTCATGTGATTTCATGTTTTAACTGTTTGTGCCGCTTAACATTGTTTTGTATTTACTGCCTGTTTTCTAGATGTCCTACTTCGCATAATGCTGACTTACTCCTCTAAGTTTTTTTTTGTAATCCTGCTCAGCTGTTCATGTTTTGCTTTCTCCTGTTCAAATTTTATATGTTGAGTGTTTTATTTGTTTGTTTTAATGACTTTAATGTACGACCGAACAGTTGAGAAGCAGCCTTTTGGCTAACACTGGCATATTTACAGTCATGTTGATGAATGTGTATTGCCCCTGAAAAAAAATAGAAATAAAAACCGTGAAGTTAAGCCAGCAAAGGTCTAAGGCTTATGAGTAACGGTGTTCATTATAGGCAGCGAAAAAAAGGAATGGATTGTTTTTGACATGACCCACACAACATACTGCTAAGTTGTCACTAATGTCAATGGGATTTTGAATGAGATTCAAACCCGGAAGTTCCAGTTTCACTTCGGCTCTCTGTAGCTACACGCTCACCAAATGCTACTAGGAAATGTAGCTGAGCCACTAGTGTTGCTGTATTTGCTATGTCATTCCTTCAGACCGTAATTACAAACAGCCAGGAAGGGAAAACAAATTCATGTCATCCTCCTATTCAGAGATATTAGGAATTTCTGACAGCATATTATCTTCTATTTGGCGAAATACAATTTTGCGACTCACATTACACATTCATTTGATCCATTGTGGTTGTAAAAAATAATCTATTATTGCAGTTTTAACAAATAAATACATTTTAATAATAATGTAAATGAAATGTAATGCCTTGGGGCTCTACACAGTCACATAACAATACTGTATATCTGCACCAGCATTAAACCCCAACCTGCATTCAGCTGCCATCCTCTTTTCCCATTCAACCATCTTAGTGCAATATGGGATCACGAGTTGGCTCTAGTGCGTAAATATAAAGGGCTTTATTGTAAATTAGGGCAGAGGATGTGTCTGTTGTGTTGTCAGCCAAGGAAGGTCCCTTGGGTGTCTCAGCGCTGTCAATGAGCCCAGCTCTTTCTCTCCGGCTCCGCTCCTTATTATTCTAAACGTGCAGCTGATCGGAGATCTGCGATGTTGGGACGATCACGCTGCGTGTTGAGTAATAAACCTGGTCGGATTGTTTGAGTCTCCTGCTGCGACAGACTTCAAAGATCTGCACTTAATGAAGCGAAGGACTCTGCGGACTCCGGTCTCTCATGGTGCACTTCACGCACAACAAGAACAACAACCTGGGCTTTGTTGTGGCTCCTATGATAAATAGAAGTAGATGTGTTCATCTAGATCGACTTCAATCACTAAACAGTGAAACACATTTCTCACCATAACGCGTTGTGTGTGTCCTTGATGCTTAATAAACACGCTGAATGCATTTCCTTCCTCATAAAACATTTGTAAAGCTAGTTTTTGGAAGAAATATAAAACATATATTGTTTACATCCCTGTTTGCTTGGTTAGTTAGCTTAGTCACCAATTTTAATGTTTATTTACCAGCGACAAATTATATTTTGCTAAAAAGTTGCTCCAAATTTTACCCCAGACTTTGTTTTGTCCCTCTGACGTTTAAAACCAAACCTACGTACATCCATTGTCATATTAGTTCACTCTTTAGACCTGAACTTAACATAAAAGAGCACCAAAATAGGTCTGAGGTAATTCATTGATTAACAAAATTAATTAATGGAGCCACAAAAATCAAACAATCCATTTGTGAAGCGCTTGAGTTTTCAGACACTTTTGTTGTTCTCCTTTTTGGAGACTTTGCCAGCGGCTCTAAGCTGACAGAGACCGGTTGAGCTGACAGAGTCGACTGCAGCCAGAAACTTTTTGTGCTTATGTAAGTTCTCAGTTTTACACTTGACAACTTGCTGCATCTCTTAAAAGTAACCAGAAGAAGAAAAGAAAAGCCTCCTAGCAACAAAGTTCTGTTGCCTTTCACATTGTTTCAAGTCCACGTTGTGCATGTCATGGTTGACGCTAATCCATAATCTTTTGTTCTCCTTCAGCTGTTCGAAATGACCGGAATAAGAAGAAGAAGGAGAGCCCAAAGCTGGAGCTGGCAGAGAGCTACGAGCTGACAGCCGAGCTGGAGACCATCATTGAAAAGATTCGTAAGGCCCATCAAGAAACCTTCCCCTCCCTCTGCCAGCTTGGCAAATACACCACGGTGAGTTCACTGTCCTGTGGTGCTTTCTGCAAGATCTATGCAGCAGATTAAAGAAAGTGTTCAGCTTTGGTTGCACTTCTTTTTGAATCATAGACATAACAATGTGTCTTTGACTCCTTGACCTTGTTTTGCCAACGGCATCGTATGCGCCTTTGATCCGGTCTAGCTGCAAGTGCAGAGCTCATAATGGTAATCAATTTATTTTACTGTACTCTTAATCCCCCTCTAATGCACCTCGAGAGCACAGATGTAGACTGCTGACTGTACAGCAAATCCTCCACAACAACACTTCTTCTTCTTCTCTCAATAGCTATGGATTGGACATTAAGTCTGATGGAGAGGCAGTTAAAAAAAAAAAACATGCATCATAATAGCACTGTGCAGCTAACACGCTGTGACTTCCAGCCTCTGGTGAGACTAGAGACGCACCGATACTAATATTAGATGTCGGGCCGATACTGACTCAAAAAGCTGGATCAGGTATCAGTGACAACGTTTAAGTCGAGCTTGATGTAGCCTGTTGCCAAATAAAAGAAGGACCCCAGTCTCTTCCACACAGTGAGGCAAACAGCTTATTAAGTAAACACTGGTATCAAATTGGTACTTTGCATCAGCCGATACCCAAAGCACAGGTATCGCTGTCTGTATTGGGACTAACAGGATGTGTTTACCCCAGTTTTTAAATGTTGCAACAGTGAGAGGAGATAATAAAACGAGATTGTCAGGACTGGAAGACGTTGCCGCTGCCAACTTCAAACCCTCGCCTGGAAATACTTGCCAGCCAGGCAGCTGCCCATTAGTCTGGTTGAGGCTGGCACCAACTCGAGCCTTTAGTTTTTGACATGTTTGAAAAACTGAATAAATGCAGCTATTCCAGCTAATCATTATGTGCTTCCGTAAATCAAAACGGGTGCGGAAGTGACAGATTTGTGCGCTAATGTGCGACGGAGCCAAGATGGGTGTTACGAATGCTCATCAAGGGTTTATTATCCCCGTCATCTCCCGTCGTCAAGGTTGAGAGGGCTGTGCCGTCCCTGAACCTCCCTCAAACCCTCAAACGTCGGCGCTAAACTAACAACCCGTGAAAGGCCAGATAGCGAGGGGATGCTAATCCATGCAGGACCTTGAAGAAGAGTCCCGTCAGTCGGACACGCCAGGCCTCGCTTGTGCGGCCTCAAAGCGGCCGACCCTGTAAAAAAAAAAGGGAACCGTACAGCCCCCTCATCTGAGTGACAACGAGCTCCTCTTTCTCCTCCCGCACTCGTCGTCATGACTGGGTGCAAAAGTTGGAGGTCACGCAAATGTCGAAGAGAAACCTCTAGAGCGAGCTTTTGACGCAGCAAGGCCTCATTCGGCGGAGTTTTGTGACGCTTTGACAGGGGTAACGGTCGGAGCTGCAGGATGGCTGATGACTTGATAGCGAGGCGGCGGTGATAGCGGCGCTTTGATTGACACGTTGGTGTGGCAGCATTGTGCAGGGGGGGGAGCTGACAGCGTCGAAATGTGTTTGTTTTTAAAGATGACTTACATATAGATTACAGCCGGCGCGAGTGTGTCGTGATTGACACCGACGCTGCACAAACAGTCTTCTGTAGGGAAGCGTGTGAGAGCGGAAGGGGGGGGGGGGGCATGTTTAATGATTTGGCGGTGCTAGTCTCACGACACCTGTCAATCATGTCAAATACTGTTTATACAAAAATACACAACTCCGCTGAACAGCCACAATGCGCAGTAATGGATCTCTTGTTCTAGTGATGAAAGTCATTCAGTCCCTGACAATACACTTCGGAGCGGAGATAGTTAAGAGATGCTAAAACGGAGCAAATTTACAGAGAGAGAAGCTATTAGCTTTCCGCTGTGTGCAGCTGTACACTGCTGCGGCTGTCGTTTCAGTGTACAGTAAGCTCCCATCTCCATAACTCTGTATTTTTTTCCCTTTCACTCCCAACACAAAGCTCCTAATCGTTGTAACCCCTCTCTACTCCACCCTCATCCCATTCCCTCTCCCACGAGACACTTCAATGATTTTTTTTTACAAAATAAACAGTCTGCATTGAGGCAAAAATCCACTGCTGTAAAAAAAAAAGTAGGACATAATAGCAGAAATCTTGCTCCCTGGTTAGGATATAAGCCAGTGTTTGCTGTTTGTTGGAGTGGCAGTCGGGCCTCAGATAAAGCCTTAATCTGGATCAGTGGTAATTATGCTTGCTCACAGACTGTGAGAAGTTCCTCATTATTACAAGCGATTGGATCCTGATGCGCCTTTTGAGTCCTCCTCGTCGGAAACAGAAGAGGAGCTCCCGCGCCCCTAGATTAGGTTAAAGCTCCAATTATGTGGTGAAATATTCAAATCCTAGTCTGCGGTGATTTAGGAGTTCATTGCCGGGTTAGCGGAGATAGCCGCGCGAGTGAGAGGGCTTAGCTCGACAATGAATAACGCTTCATTGACAGTGATGGTGATGAAAAACGAGCTTGGCAGTTTCAAAGACAAAATAAAACATTAGCGCTCGGCAGGCCCCCGGCGGCTCCAGGCAGCGGCGGCTGCTGCTTGTACAGTACGCGGCCCGGGCCTGGAGCTATTAGCCACATTACAGTTTGTCCGCCATCGCTATTCGTCACAGGTGCTGGCTGCTTTTACTGCCTCCTCCCTCTCTGCGTCTGTACACACGAGCCCGCTGATGTACCGCGGAGGGCTCATTTCTACACCGCCAGCTTCTTTTCTAATGTCGCAAGTTGTCAAATTTGTTTTGGATAAATGTTCTTAAATGAAATTAGAATTCCCCGGCAACTTCCTTGTTTCGCTCTATTGAATTATGGGACTTGTGTAATTGACTGAGATTGCAAGTAGGGGGGGGTGTTAAAAAAATAAATAAAATCCAACTGCGAATTATCTCACCCTCCTTCCTCTTCAGCTCCCTCTTTTTTCTTCCCTGTCCCTCTCCACCCAGAGGGAAGAGCAAGATAAGTTGCTTTAATATCAGCCACCTCCACCTCCACCCCCCAACATATGTGCATTGTGCAAACACACACACACTCCACTCACAAACACTCATGTCTCGGCACCTCCTCCTTCCCCATCAAATCGGATGTCAATCAGTGGAATGTGCGTCCGTAGTGCTGTTGTGTCAACTGCAGCTCGTTGTCCGTGATTTAAGCACGGCCCTAATGTGCCTCTCACTTAACCCCAGATCATATTAAATGATCTCTCTCTCTCTCTCCTCCCTTTATATCCCCCTCTCTATCTCGCTCCGTCTGTCTCTCGCGGGTGGCCACAATAGATTGTTTGCTCGTGACAGTGTCCAGCAGCCGCGGTGCTAACTGCCTCGCAGTAACAACCTCCGGGGGATTGATGTGCTGTGAGGCAGAGGGCTGCTCCAGCTGTCTCCACAGTCACTTCAGTGGGCTGCAGGTCGCTGCTGTATTCAAGCCCTCTCACACTGAGAGAGCTCCTGGGGCTTTGGCTTAGACCGATGTTGAAGTTGGCCAACATATTAAGTAGATATTGGATTTTCAGTAGAGGATGTCATATTAGTTGGTCACTTTTCCCACCAGGTCCTTTTTCTTCGTCAGCTCAAAACCGGTGTGCTGTCCAGAGGCCATGTCATCTGTTATTCAATGTTCAAAATTCGGTTTTATCAAATTTAAATGGAAAAACTTTACGTTCTACAATTTAAGACTTAAACATGGTCTATGTTTTAAAGGCAGATTCCAGTTTTCTCAGGCTTAGGATGTTTAAATTTGACAACTTTAGGCCATAGATAATACATTATTTTGTATTTCTACACCAAAATATGATTCCTGGCAATATAAAATAAGCTTTTAGACATATATAAGTTAACACTAATTCAATTGAATGGCACATTAAATATGAAATTCAGATAATAAGAAATTTAGAGACCTTCTTGGAACAAGAACTTGTGAACTTCTAAAAAGCTGAGTGCTCAATTTTTTTCCGAAACGTCCTCAATGTTACTGTGATTCATTGGAATAAGCCCAGTTCCAGTGTAGAGTTGTTGGTCTGAATGCTGTTGCTGTTGTTTCTACCCTGACGAGAATGACGCACAGACAAATTATACCACATTTATCATAAATAGAGAGATTACATAACACCCCTGGGACAAGAAATCTCACAGTCTGTCTTTTATTTTGCTGTATTCTTCTGAAAGCTGCTGGGTAGACATGTGTTCGCTCCCTTGGTTTGACTGTTACAAGTAAAAAAAGATCTGAATTAAAGTTTGAGTTAATGCTACAGACTGATTTTCTTATTTATGTCCAGCTGTAATATTCCCTTTGTCTGGGTTTTGACATACTTTAGTTATGTAATGCTATTTTTGTCTGTATCTTCTATTTATTATTCATCTGCTTATGCAACTCACTTTAAAACTGAGAAGTCTGAAAGCAAGGTTTATTCTCATTTTCCCCAAAAATGCAGGAAAGTCAGATATAACCAAATCAGTGTTTCACTGTATACCGATACTTGGAAAGTATTGCAATACTTTGCCGTCAAAAACACTGCAATTCCCCATTTCATTATTAGCAATTCATTAAGAGTCACATTGTTTTAATAAGAGCCCTATTTATGATGCGTCAACATCAGGGCAGTGTGTTCTGCTCTGCAGACTCACAGCAAAATATGGCACTGAAGTACTGTAACCGAGGGTTATAAGTTGCTATACTATACTTATATACAATAGCACGTAGGATCCGTGGTCCGAACCAAGACGGCAAACTCATTATTGCTCCCACCTTGTTAACGGCAGCAGCGTGGCATTACAGCTTCACTTTTCTTGCCTTTCACAATAAAAGCCCGAGACATATACATTGCATCGCTGCCCGTGAGAGGGCAACTAAACTCACTCAGAGCATTTCGTGAAGGATTTTATCCTGTTATAAGCTGCAGTGTGACATGTGAAGATGGAGAGATTTAAACGAAGACTTTCTCCCGTCCTGGTTGCATGTTAAAATGTATGATCATGCTATGATAAAATAGTTCACTCCTGTTATTTTATAGCTTCTTTTCATAGCCTCCACTGCCTTGCATTGACTTTTTTTTTTATTAATTTGATTAATTGATGCACAAAAAAGAAGAAGAATTTGAAGTTCCACGTTCTGTCATCTATTATTCCATAACTTCTCCTGATGTTTTAGGGTTTTGTTGAGGTATTGTTTCAGCATCGAGATATTTCAGGCAGGCATGTATCCAAGCCATAATTTTGGTATCGTGACACGAAATGTCAAGCTACAATGTTGACGTTAGGTTGTGTCAATAATATTGGCTAAAATACACAAAGAGTGCATGTTCCTCTCTCCGTCTCTGAATCCAGTCTGGCTGGAGACACTTTGCTTTATGCCGCTGACTTTTTTTTCATTACAGTTGTTTATACTGAAAAACAGAGTAGCCTAAATGTCCAAGGAGTTTGTTCGGAGACACAAAGCACTCTGTATCTTTGCAGATGAATTTATGATCTGAAAATAAAAGGCTGTGTAACAGTCAATTACAGCAGCACGGAGGCTTTGTTTCCACATCTCTTAGGGCCTGTGAATCATACTGTGTACACTCCTAACACATCACAATGTTCCTGCAGGCCCGGGCCGCGGCATAAACCTTGTTGATGCTGTCAAGAGCAATTTTAATTTTGTTGTTTGTTTATATGCTTGTTGCAAAATCAGAAAGAGGGGAAGCAGTGGAGTCTTATAAAAACACGTACTGTATGCTGCAAGGGGGGGGGGGGGGATGTATCAAATACTCTAGGTGGCACTAGAGCCGGACTGGTACACGGTCATGATATAAAGTATTAGTGCTTTTATGCTATAGCTGATACCTGACAATGAATTGTAGTAAAATAACAGCAGAGGTATGAATGAGGTCAGTTACACTCTTATAGTAAGGGTTCAACCTGAAGGGCTGAGGTTCTGCTCAGAACCATTTGCTTTTGAAGAAAACTTTTTTGATGAAAACTTTTTTTTAAGGATAGTTGGAGGTGTGAGTTTTAAAAGAGAACACACAAATTCACAGATTGTGAACCATGATTGTTGTGGGTTGCATTGCATCACATCAGCCCCGGCCCTTTAGGGTTCTAGATGAACCCTGGGAATGTAAAAAGGGATCTCTATAGAACCCCCTGTGTGGGTTGTAGATGAAATCCTTGCGATACAAAAGGGTTCTTGGATGGGTTCTTGTTACCACCCTTAGAAGATGGAAAGGTTCTGGATATAACCTTCCAGGGTTATGGTTTGAAACCTTAAATCATAGAAGGGTTCTCTGTAGAACCTCTCATAGGGAGTTCTGGGTGGAACCTTTCACAGATGTGTCTAGTTTTAACCCTTGATGTTGGGCTCTAGGTTAAACCCTCTGGAAGGGTTTAAGGTGGAACCTTTATAAAAGGTTCTACCAGGAACCCAAAACAGGTTCTCTTAAGCTGAAACACCCTATACGGTTCTAGTTAGTATACCTTTCTTTTTAGAGTGTATACACAGCGTCTCTGATACAGTTTGTCCACCAGAGAGCACTGTACATGTTTTGGTCAGTCACTATCTTGGTCACATTTGTTTTGTTAAAAACACCTAAAAACAATAATCCAGTTTAAAAGGTCAAAGCAAACACAAGTTGGTCCTGTCTGGGCTTTTCTGCTGTCCACCCTGTTCACACAGTAGATTCGGTAAAGACCCGTCTCTCCTCCCTGTGTTGGTGTGTGTGTGTGTGTGTGTGTGTGTGTGTGTGTGTGTGTGTGTGTGCTGTGTCCTTGCTACATGTGGAGACTCACTCATGTGGAACAGATGGGCTATTTCATGTAAACCATCAGAAAACAAACAAATGATCATCAGATGCTCCGTCCCCACCATCAGACGGCACACTACGGCTTCCCCCCGCTACACCCAAACAATTCCCCAACTGCTGCTCATTCTCCCCTCTGTGCATCTGAATCACACCGTCTTCTGCTCGAATGGCCTTTTCTTTCCCTCTTTTTCTCCTCTTCCTCTTCTCCTCCTGGCGCTTTCAAACTCAGAGCAGCTCTGGTCGATGTTCACTCAAAAACACTGTTTAAAATAAAGTCTGTTTGAGTAAAAGAATTGGAAAATCATCAGTGTGGGATATTACTGGAGAGTTTGGATGTCTCATCGTGGCCTGACTGCTGTTTCTGACTGGACTACATTTCTTCAGGAAGCATTTAGGTAGAACATTATATGCCTGAATGGAAAATCAGCCTCTTCATTACTCCACTTTGTCACCTGTGGCTCTTGGAATATTGTCATAAGTTTTTCCTATTTCATCACACAATATAGACTAAATTAGTCAATATTTTTTTAATGAATTGTTTAATGACCAAACACAATAATCTATAACTGAAAAAATATCAGGAGATGCAGCCCGCAAGTGTTTAACAGCAGCTACAACATTGCAGAATTAATTTCCATTTGTTTATTGTAATGACAAAAATAGTTAAAGGACTGCAAGGGTTCCACTCAGAACTGGGTCCCTATCACGACAGCATCTAAACGCTGGAATTATAGGATAATTCAAATTCATTCAACTTGGGTGTATTTTCAGCATTTGGGCCATCATTTGTGATGGTGATAATAACATCATTTTCACTTTGTTATTACCTGAGAACTGGGAACACAGTGACATAGATTTTAAAAAAAGAAAGAAATCCAATGGGAAACAGTCAGTCAGAAGACCAGACAGGGTTCAGACCAAAACCCTGCCAACACTTCAAAGGGAAAGTTCACCCCAAACTCAGAAATACATAATACGTACCCTCCTAACTGTAGCGCTATTTATCAACCTAGATTGTTTTTGTGCACGAGTTTCTCATCCATGAGCAGACGCATGTTTCCATCTGATCCAAAATAATCACCGTCATATAAAGAACACATCAGAGGTGGATGACACCGGCTGTCGTGTGATTTTTTTAATCAAAAGCCAACAAACTGATGCATCAATCTCCCCCTAGCTCACGCATCATGAGAAGAACTCCCAGCATTCATGCATCTCTTCCCTCCTCCCTCCCACAGTGCCTCTCTTTTCTCACATACTTAACTTTCCTCTCTTTCTTTCCCCTCTCTGGTGTCTTACAGCACTTTTACTTACACTTTTTACTCTTTCTGCACATTGCAATATGTCTTCACTGCTCCCTGGCTTTCTTCCAATCGCTGCTCCCCCTCCAGTGTTTGTGGAGCTCTTCTGGACTGTATAGCTGTATTAATGGCCCCTCCGGCTTCAAACCGCTCCGTGCTACCTGTCACCGCTCCGTTTCTGCAACCCATCATTGCCGAAGCATCCCACTGACACTGTTACGCTCATTATCGCAGGGCCCGGCCACCCGGCTCAGCTCAGCGTATTCACAACAACAATCCTGCCAGTGTGTTTTTGAGAGCTCAGGTCTTATGGAGCCTATTTACTGTATGTAAGTGTGACACACATGCGGCGTGAAGAGGGTGCACTGAGGAGATCATTAGCAGCAGTCTGTGCAATGACAAAAGTAGCTGCCTCTTCGCCTGACGCCTTGCTCTCTGTTCGTGTGGGTTTGAATATGTGTGTGTGTGTGTATGTGTTGCAGAACTCGAGTGCAGACCACCGTGTGAGGCTGGACCTGGGCCTGTGGGACAAGTTCAGCGAGCTGGCCACCAAGTGCATTATCAAGATCGTGGAATTTGCCAAACGAGTGCCTGGCTTCACAGCGCTGACCATCGCGGACCAGATCACGCTCCTGAAAGCTGCCTGCCTGGACATTCTGGTGGGTGTTGGTGCTTTTATTTTGGAGGCATTATTGTTTCGAGACTGTTGTTGAAGTGGTTACACGATTACATCAATTTCTTTACCAATTAATTTCCAAAATGACGTCTTTCAGAGCATTGTTGCAGACATCTCAAAATGTGGCATGCATCATCTCTGGGTAACTTCAGTTTATTCTAATATTTATTTTCTCTTTTCCCTGTTGTTCTTGGTTGTGTAAGAATCCATTAATTCATTTGAAGGTGTGGCGAGTCGATAGCCTCGGATCTCTGGGGGACTGGTGGGTTGAACCTGCTCTCACTAGACCAATCCCCAAACCTTATTGGATGACCTACTCTGCTGGCCAAATGGGCGCAAGGAAGATCCGATTAATTGATCGTGCCAGTCAACTCGATTCTTCATGTGGAGTAGCTGTCTGTAGTGGAGATTAGATTATACGCACGCAGGAACATTTTTCAGCCTCTAATCTACAGATGCAGAATGATGCAGAAATATCTGCAGAGTCGGCCGGCTGCCGCGGCTGAATGTTTGTTTGTTATTTAGGAGTAGTTAAGTGGAGCAATGTACTGTACTAATGTAGCCGCAGTAATGAGATGGAAAGAAAAAAGGGCAAATGGATGCCTCTCTTCCTCTTCTGTCTCCCTCATGCATGCTTGGCTGTTGGAGGGGAGGGGGGGGATTTGATTAGCATTCATTGCTCAGAGGGAGAGGAAGGAAGAGAAAGTGATGACAGGCTTGTTGTGTGTCATCTGGTCATAATTTGTGACCTGGAGTATAATTCACAGTTCAGCACCCAATAGTAGTTTTGAGCCCAGGGTGGCTTTAGACAGCTGGCTTAAACACTTGACAGAAGTGGGTGTCGCCACCGTGACCTCATCCATTGGTTTGTAGACTTCCTTTTTGAAGCCAATAATTCATTTTAGCCATCTTTACAATATAACTTATTTTTGCAACCAGAGGAGTTGCCCCCTGCTGGCAATTAGAAATACTGCAAGTTTAAGAGACTTCCACACTGTCTTCACTTTTCAGAACTGAAGTGTTGCCCCCTGGTAACAAGGTACCCAGTGTGTCCAGCACACTAAAGCTGAAGATAACACACATGTTTGTACGCTATACATGAAGCTAGAGCAAGTAGACGATTAGGTTAGCTTAGCATGCAGGTTGAAAGCGGCGGAAACAGCCTGGCTCTAGTTATTCAATTTCAATATCTCAGTAATCTGAGAAAATGAGTAGAACGCTAACCCTTGATTGATTTTTAGTCCACTACTACGGTCACAGTCTTTGCAATGGCAAAGTTACACTCCGACCATCCTGCTATGTTGATTTGAACGTGAATGTCCGCTTTACTCTCATTCTGTTTCTATTGATGTAACTAATGGCTTTATTAATAATTAATAAATCATTTGCTAATGCTTTATAATCAGTTTCTGTTATAAGCCATTGAGAATAACTACTTTAGAGGAGCCGGGTTTTGCAATGTTCGTCATCAATTGCTTATAACTGAGTTATAAAGCATAATGAAATGATTTGTTAACAGTATACAGACTTTAGTTACAACTAATAAAACTTTATAATGAGTACCTTATTAGAAGGTGGTACTTAAACCTGCCAAGTCTGTCTCTTGCTTGTTCTATATTTTGGACTAAATGAAGTGTAACTAGTTACAGTAAAGACAGACTGCAGTTTTTGCATAATGATGGAGCTCGCAGCAGCTGCTCACTTGTCAGTTGCTAATAGTTCTGTGGAGAACCAGCCAGCATGCTGTAGTCCAAACACGTTCTCTCCAAACAGCTGTCTTACATTTTGAGCCAATATAGCAGTTTTCTTTTCTCTTGTTCTCCTCACCTCTTTATGACGAACAGAAAACACGGTGGTTAAAACAGTTAGTCTGGAATCGGCAGGTTTAGACTTTTAAAACAATTGGAATCGGCCAAGAAAATTGCAATCTGTGCGTCTCTGTTATTGCAACAGCATGACAAAAAAACAGCAAAGGATAAACATGGTCGAAATGGATTTATTACAACAAATGTTATTATTTTTCCTGGCTTATTACTGATATATTCAAGTAACATGCTAGTATAAGTATTAGGGAATTATTTATTAACCATACATTTTTTTATAAAAGGTACCTTTTTACAAAATAGTAAATGCTCCCTGCAGCCTGGTGTATGTGTCATTAAAGTGACAGAGAGGAAGTGACATCCAGGTTCATCTGCATTTTGGTAAGGGAATGCAAAATCAAGGATTTATGCATGAAGATGCATATTTATGTGAGTTGTAAATGCAAAGTAGCTTAATCATATCCGGACACAACCTGGATAAATGAATGCTGATGAAAGTGAGCATTAGTTTGCTGTACGTACACTATTTGTTATTCAGTGTGTGTGTGTGTGTGTGTGTGTGTGTGTGTGTGTGTCTGGCTCAGATTCAGTGGCAGTGCCATATTAATAGATTAATAGATTAATAGATTGGAGTTTGTATTGGCTATAAGTCACATTGTCACAAGTGACAAAGCAGTGGAGGGGAACTCCCAGGGACACAGAGGTGAGAAGTTGAAGGCCGGCTGTGATGACATTCTGGCTCTCGCTCAGCCATCAACATCCGCTCACCAGCACATTTCTATGGTGAAGGGCGTAGATATTGTGCACGGGCCGTGTGAGGGAGTGTCAGAGGAAAGATCAAACACTGTGTGTGTATATATATATATATATATATATATGTGCGCGTGTGTGTGTGTCTAAGCGCAGGCCTGGCCAGCCGGTGCGAGTCACCGCCAGTAGCCATGTTTTATTCTGTTTCATGTTGCAGACACGCCTGCCACTCACTGTCAGAGCCAGCCCACTCAAATAGCTTCAAAGGCTACTGTCGGCTTCACATCCACCATCAGTGGCTTCATTAGGTGTACACACACACACACCACACACACACACAAACACACACATGCAGTGCAGCAGGAGACTCAAAGGTTATTTTCTTTGAGCGTGAGGAAGGTCGTTGTTTTGGATATGCTTGTTGTCTCTGCTGCTCTTTATTAGAAACTTGTTGTGAGCCTGTTTAGGACTTAAGAGTCTCATTCTAGAGTCTACCTGCCCAGGTTAGCAGGTTATCATCAGTCATTGGTGCAGTTACAGTGATACAGCAGTTAAAGAATGGTGTTTTTTGTGCATTTTTTCTCCGTATTCGATTTTGATTAAAGGGTTGGTCCACCGGAAACTACACAGCCTATTTACCAATATTGTCTCACTTTCAAAGCTACATTAACTGATCTTTTTGGGCCACTTGGGGGCTATGTAAAAAAGCTGAAAACATATCACCTGATATATTGTCACCAGCAGGGTTTATCAGATCGTTTTCAATGAAAACAGCTGCCTGCTGCTGGAAGGAACATACAGGAAAACAAACTAAAAAGAGGCTGCATGAGTGATAATTCCCTTTGGGTCTGTCACCATGAGTGACACCTTAGACATTACACATAGTTCTGTGATCAATTGTTATTATAAAACTATTGAATAACGAGTGGTGAAGGCAAAATCTCAAAGACCTGGAGAAATAAAACAAAGAATTTGTATGGTTAGCTACCTTTACTAAAACTGTTTCTAAAAACATGAACCTATTACGTATTTTACAGCTTGTGATGTTAAATTTGAGTAGAAGTTGGATGATATCACTGACTGTATCTCTAGTCTTGTTTACATCAAAAATACACCTTTCTGATCTTGAGGAAGTCCAGAGGGCAGAAAGAATGCAAATGAAACTACAGTGTGGGGTTTTTTTTTTGTTGAAACTTAAGTAATGGCTTTGTTAATGGTTTATAAATAATTTATTCATGCTTTATAGATGAGTTATAAACAATTAAGTTGTTTTGTGTTCTTGTATTTGGTTCAAATCCATTAATAATTGATAAATAAATTGTTAATAGATGTATTTCCGTGCAGATCCTCTGCAGCCCTTTTCGGAAAGTACATGGCCATATGGTCCAAACAGTGAAAGGGATTCTTCACAACCTGGCAACTGATGATTTAGTGCTTTTCTGGAACATTTTCCACACTGACAATAGCCTTAGGTAGACATTCAATCTGTCAGTTTTTGCAATAAAACTGCTCAACTTAAAGATGTTCAAAGCCAAACTCTATAAATCAAGCCCAACTGTACATCACTTAAAGTTTGCTGCACACTAAATCCCTGCTGACTAATCTTTTCCCTGCCTTCTTTCCCTCCATATCAGATCCTGCGCATCTGTACGCGGTACACCCCCGAGAAGGACACCATGACCTTTTCAGATGGGCTGACCCTCAACCGGACGCAGATGCACAACGCTGGCTTCGGCCCGCTCACCGAATTGGTGTTCACATTTGCCAACCAGCTGCTGCCCATCGAGATGGACGACACGGAGACAGGCCTCCTCAGCGCCATATGTCTCATCTCCGGAGGTGGGCGAGCCGGGGCAGGGCGCTGGGCATTTAGTAAGGGGAGGGGAGGGAAGGTGAGAGCAGCTTTGTTAAGGAAAGGAATAAGTAAGGTCTCTGGGGATAAAGCAGAAAGTTCGCCAAGCCTCTGAGTGGGCGAACATGAATACATGGTTGATTGACAACTGAGCTGGGAGGGCCAGGGAGAGACAACTAGTGCTGGTAGTGTTGTTTAGGAATAAGAACCACATCATTTAGCAAGTGAAAAGACAGCCGTCGACCTTCGCAGGTACGTTCTAAAGCTTTTCAATGTGCTACAGCTGACGAGCTAATTAGCTACCTGACGTGATGTTCTTTTGGTGGCTTGTTTGACGAGCTGAGGTGCAGGACAACGGACAAAGGACGTGTCACTGAGGCATTAGGCTCTTCTTGTGTTGTGTCACAGCTGTTGGCAAAGATAGAACGATGGCCAGGCAAGAGCTTCAACAGGATACAACCCAATTTTCTCTCATTAATGAAAAGACAAATTCATAAGCAATCAAACATACCCTTGCTCTATGTTGCAGTCTTACTTTTACGAGCAAACTTTGGATAGATATTCTGTTACATAACATTTCAGATGAATATAAAAAAAGAAGAAAAAACCTCACCAGGAGGAGACATGTTTGTTGTTTCCTGTATGTGGTCCCACCCCACTTGCTTTGTCAGCTCACCAAATGATCTTTAAAAGGAACTGATTAAAGAGAATCTTGGGACATGATGGGTGTTGTTCATTTGTGGCCAACGTGGCAGCTGTTCAGCAAATGTTACATCTACTTGCTTTAAGTTGAAAAGACTTGATTGCCGATATGGAAAGAATCTGCTATATGCACGGGCAGTGAACATTTAAGAAATATACAATTTAAATCAAATCTGTATGTTATACCTGAAAAAGAATCATCCAATTTTAGGGGTAGGGAAACACTTTTGTAAAGTATCAGGTATTTGAAGCTTCAGCTGAGAAACATCAACGTCTCTCTGCAAAATCTCAGATGGATATGTCAAATTTACGGCTTTTTGCTACATCATATATTTAGCATAAATTCTGATTTAAAGATATAAACAGAGTTGATAGTGTAATCTTTGAGTACATCAAGTGGAATGAATAAATTGATCCGACTCCACATCCAAACCATGTTTGACTGCTTTCCATTTAACACAGTCAGCCCGTACTCATTCCTCCAGATAATTATTGAGTGCAGCCCAGTTTGTGATGAAAGTAAGCCAGAATCCACAGGAGTCTGAAACCAGGTCAACCACAGGTTGCCATCAGTGAGGAAGCACTATCCCGACTGCCAAACATGGGTGTGTGTGTGTGGGGGGGGGAGGGTGAATAGCGGTGACGTACAGGTATGTCACAACAGCGTCAGATAGCTGAGTGAGATGTTTGAACCGCCTTCCCAGAGGAAATAAGCCCACTCTTGTTGTTTTCCACGGAGATACCCGAGGCATGACTAACTCCCTCATGTCAGGCTACACACACATTAACACACAAATCTCTGTCCTCTTCCCCCTCTCACACACACACAAAGTTTTACTGTACATTATATGGCCAATATAACGATACATTTCGATATGAAAATGCCTATCTTTGATCGTTTTTTCTATATCAATGTGGAAAAGCCCAGCAGCCGACCTGCATTATGGCAACATTTTAACCTCAGTTGGACGACGCTTTATGTTCTGAAAATAATCTATGGAGAAGCCGTGCACTCCTCAGATAGTAATTAGACACTACAAGTCCATTACACGTACACTGCAATGACACCGAATGTAAAGAAAGCAGGTATCAAATCTGTCATGAAAACTACTTTCTACACATTCTAACCTCAGTTATTATAACCAGTGATATAATAATCAGTGGGTTATATACACCTAACACACAGTTCATTCAGATCAATCAGTATATGAATTATTATGGACCCTGATGTCCGCCACCTGTCCTGTAAAATGCATCAGCTGTTATTAATTAATATCACATTTGGGTTGTTAGGTTCACTTGAAACAGTTATGTTAATTTCTCAAGTACTTAAGTCACAGAGGAGTATACAAAAATAGGTTTTACCATGTGTTCATGGATACTATTTATTTATTGAATTACCAGAAAACATGCTATATCGTGATGTAAATGACGTATATCACCCAGCCCTACTGTATGTCCACCACAAGTTACACCGTTCCCACTACCATACTCCTCTCTCCCCTCGACCTTTCATTGTCATTGTTGCTCAGGCTCTTTCACTGCTGGGGTTTCATTCAGCAATATATATTTATATACTCAATCCCCAGAGGCTTGGCAAATATTACAGGCTCTTGCATAATCCATGGACAGTGCACACCTTTGACTGCATCCATTATCACACAGCAGCAGCTGATCTCATGTGCACACACTGCCACCTCGTGGCTCCATGGTGTAGTGCATGTTCCTCAATCTGTTACTGGCCATTCGCATGTCTAACGATCTATCTGTCTCTTGTCACTTTGAAAACTGCGAGAACATCAGTCTACTTTGTCTAAACAAGGGTTGTAACCAACAATTATTTGCACCATTTATTTTACCTGCTGATATTATTTTTTTCTATGAATTAATCCTGTAGTCCATATGTTTATAAATAGTGAAATATTACCAATCACAATTAATCAGCTCCAAAAGGTGATGTCTTCAGTCGTCTCGTTTTGTCGAACCAACAGTCAAACACCCCGAAATATTACAGGTTACAGTCAAACAGAGAAAAGCAGCAAACAAGCTAATGTTTGGCATGTATGCTTGATAATATGATGACTTAAGGACCGCTTAGTTTGTCATTTTAACTGTTGTTTAAACCAACAATCCCCTCAGTTGTGGAGGAAGCTTACAATAAAAAAAAGCTAGTTTTGCACTAACTTTGGAAGATACGCACTTGATTGGACTAACTCGGACCGCTGAAGACTCTTATCGTGAGAATCAGACAAAAGACTCAATTGCGAAGGATCACACGAGAGTAAAGTGAAGCCAGTTTTGCACTGTGAAGTACTGCAAAAGTGAGGCTATATGACAATTCTAGCTCTGAAAAAACTAATTAAGACACTAGTCCAGCATAAGCAATGCAAAAAGCATCTCTAACAGCAAATCAAAATGCAGCTCATTTCTTTAGCAAAATGCAAATCCTACACACAAATAGTCCCATCATCACACAAACTGTGTGTGCACTTCAGCGGGATGTGTTCACAACGTGCTGGGGTGCAAAGCCAACCCCACCTAACACACAAAACCAACAACACTTCATGTAAGCCTGCCATAATACATCCATGAAGCCGACACATCGTGACAGCACACAGCCAAGCTACTATTAGGGACAGACACTTCAGAACCACGGACAGTGAACAACGAGCATCGCACTTCGAATCCACCACCATCACAAGCGAGCAATATTGTTAATGAATAATAGGCTGTTATTAGACTGGCAAAGCGGTATTATGTTATGGTATATATTTAGGGAAACTGTCATATAACATTTAGAGTGAAGGTATGATTGGTTCATTGAACTGGCCACGGCAGCTTTTTGCTGTGTCGAGCAAAGCGTGGACGCAATCTGCGCTGAAGCCAGAGGTGAGCGCTGCGTAAACCGCGTCGTCTAATAATCCTTGATTTCACAGTGAAAACTTTAGTGTGTACAAACCTGGCAAGTTGTAACAGGAAGTCGGTCTGTAACACTACCAGCCTCCTTTGTTTTTCTCTTCCAGATATCGGATACTGCTCAGATGTCAGCGATTACTTAGGTCCTTACAGTACTACAGTACTATACTGCAGGCCTGCCACTATGCTATTGTGAGGACTGCTTAAAGATGTTATTTTGCCTCAAGGGAAGTTTAAAATGCACACACCTGCAACAGTTAGCCAGGTTTGTGTAATCACCTGGACTCTGTCAATAGTAGAGAGATTATCTTGTACAACTCAAATTAAGTTTGGTCTTCTCCACGTTGCCAATGGCTGAATACAATATATAATAAAAGCAGATTACATATATTGACAAAATGAATGCACAGGGACTCTAAGAAAGCTGGAGTCAAAAAGAAAAACTGCCAACTACAAGGTCCAAAAAAGATTATGGTGGATCAGAGAGGAGAGCCGCTGGTTCAACGAGTCTTCCTAATAATCACTGAGTGCAGAAATGTGGTCTGTGAATAGATGCAAAGCTTTGAATATCACGTCTGCTGATTAGTTTGAATGCGTTCAGTTGTTGCTTCCCTGCTGTGTGAGACTTTAAAAAAACCCCGTTATCAGAGCTTAACACTGCGATGAAAAGAAAGGATTCAAATTAGTTTTCTGCTTTAGTTATCTTATTGTAACCATATCTGCAGTCTCTTCTCTGCAGCAAATGAGTTGACACAAAGAGATAAACTCTTCCTTCTTAATCAAACCCGGCTTCATGCAGTGATACATGTATTAGCCTCTAGCTTGTCTATATCAGATAAAGCCAACACATGGATTTGTCATAGCTGAGCCTCAAGTCTGACTTGATTTGTGTGTTTGTGTGCATGTGTGTGTGTGTGCGTGTGTGTGTGTGTGTGTGCGTTTTCGTGTGTCAGACCGTCAGGACCTGGAGGAGCCCTCAAAGGTGGACAAGCTCCAGGAACCGCTCCTGGAAGCTCTGAAGATCTACGTGAGGAAGCGTCGGCCCAGCAAACCGCACATGTTCCCCAAAACCCTGATGAAGATCACAGACCTGCGCAGCATCAGCGCTAAAGGTAGGAGGGGATATCAACTCAAAGTTATGGTATGTATGTCTGCTGCCTTGACAACTCTTGCTATGGAGAAGAAGCCAGTCAGAGGCGCGAATCACAGCATCAGAAAATTAAAAATGTTCACTGTGGCAAAAAATGGATCCAAAATGGAATCCAGCATGTGAAAGTGAATTGTTTTAAGATGCAGATCATCAGATTTCGGTGTTTTCTAACACTGTTTTTTGCACTGATGATTAAAACAGGAGAGTTTCAGTGCTCAACCTGTGAGTCACCTGGAATTTTCAAAGGAAAGAATGACTATGATACTTCCAGAAATAGCTGCTCCCAGAGAGTTGTTTCAGACGCTGCTAGACGGGCCACAAGTGCTTCAGTTGATGCACACTGAGGTTTCGCACAGCCGTGTTCTGCCACGAGAACCACAATTCTTGTATATTATCCTCATTCTGCTTTTGTCGATCTCAAGGCAGCAAACATGTGTATCAAGCTGCAGTTCAGGTAATGGCCACTAGATGCTGGATCCAAGAAAGTGTGATGAAGTCAATATATAGGAAAATGCTCTAAGTCTATCTTGAAATACATGATCGGTAGTACACTACTTCAAAAAGAAATTCAAGTCTCAGCTGCTAACTTCACTTCTTCTAATGTGTGTCTGGAATAAGATAATAAGTGTTGCATTAACAACATACTGTGTGTAGGCTACACTTCCTACCGAGGAGGTTAGCGACTAGCTGGTGAAGAACGTGAAACATCTAGCAGCTAAAGAGCCAGATACGTTTTCTGAGGAGTTAGTGGAGACCAAAACAGAGCTAAAAGGAGAGAGAATATTGCACTTGTATTCATCAGGTGAGCTGAAATGCGGCTACATGAATGCTAAAGGCCTCAGTGTGCAGTAACCAAACAAACTAGGTTGTGCGGGACGTCGCGGCAAACAACTTTATAAAGCCATTTCATGCCAGATGAGTTCAGTTGTGTTGTGGAGTTCTCGGGCCTCCTCAGCTGACGCAGCATAAGAATGACAAGGAACAGGAAGAGCGAGCACACTACTCGGCTTTTAACTTCTCAACTGGCTGCCTGCAAGTCCCTATTGATTTCAACTTGCTGAAGCTAACTTTTAAAGCACATTGTGAACTGGCTCATAGCCTGAGTTTACTTTATGATCCTCAAAGGCCCTCGTGCTCCTCTGCAGACCTTGGCCCCTTGACTTTGGAATAATAATAAATCCCATCTTTTAAACTTGCCTTTTTGTGATCTTGCATCGGGCTATCTGGTTGCATTACAAGCTTATGTTCTTGCTTCATGCTTTTACTGTTTGTCCTGGTTGTATTTGTCTCCAAATCCTTTGGGGTTTTTGAAAGTATCAATTCTTCTGGGTTTTACTCTTTTGTTTTATTTTCTCCTCCTTATCTGGTGTCCTCTAAAGCAGCTTAACACTTCTTTTAAAGTGCACTACATAAAATAACTGACAGAAAGTTGATATAGAGGTCCCCGCAGTTTAACTTTTTTATTCTTCTACACAAGAGTTTTAACCAGAGGAATCATGTTGATTGTCCTCAGTAGGGAGGGATCGTAAAGTGCAGTCACATGTAACGTTGACGTGTCAACTATCATGATGAAGACCGTGATGCGGTCACAAAATAGCTAGTAAGTGGACCACGTCAAGAACGAACTGTCACGCTCCGGTCTTAATCCTCACGTTTTTGCCCTCATCAGGAGCAGAGCGGGTCATCTCTCTGAAGATGGAGATCCCAGGTTCGATGCCGCCGCTTATCCAGGAGATGCTGGAGAACTCGGAGGGCCAAGACAGCAGCAGCAGCAGCGGCACTAGCAGCAGTCGTAGCAGTAGTGGCAGCAGCGGCACCAGCAGTAGCAGCAGCAGCGGCACCAGCAGTAGCAGCAGCAGCAGCAGCACTTCGGCTGAGGCGGGGGGGGCCAGCCCCAGCAGTAAGGGCAGCCCCAACGAGGACGCCGCTGCCGCTGAGTCGCCGGAGTCGTTGGACACCGAGGGGGCTGCGGCCACGCCGCCCAGCGACGAGCCCTAGTAGACTCTCTATGACATTCCTTGGCACAAAAAAGGAACAGCCAGGCAAGGCCCCGACCCCCTATAACCCCCCTCTACCCCAACTCCTTTGCTTGGTATTACGTTATATCCTCGCCCTATTTCTTCTTCTCCTGAAATTCCCTCCTTAAAAAAAAGAAAAGGTCAACACGGAGGCCTCAAAAGGATCAGTGCTTTGTGTATAGTTCTGAATTCAGCTCTTATTTGGCGTGGTGTCTCTGGGACAGAGGCTGTGACAGGAAGGGCGTGGCCCTCGCAAACCGCCAGAGATGATACTCCTCAGGTCTCCTGTGTAAATTCTTATCTGCATGACGGGAGTTTGATAAGTGGTTTTACTCCTCCCTCTCTCTCTCTCTCTCTCTCTCTCTCTCTCTCTCTCTCTCTGTCTTACTCTGTCCTCTTCTCATCTCTCATATTGTCGGCATACGTACATTGTACATACCATTGTATGGTTAGATCTCTGTTTCTATGATGAATTTTGTGGTGCTTTTTTCATTGTCTTAAATATTATCTTTGAGGCGACGCGTCAAGGTTAAGAGCGGGACTGAATTGTAAGTCCTTCAAAACAGTTATCTAGAATGTTATTGCATATAGACATTATGGAAGTCTAATATTTTATATTTGTTCCTATATTTAAAACGGTTTCTGTCTTTTATAACACTTCTCGGTTCATGTCTCCACATGAATGAGTGTACATCCACGCCGCCAGAATGCGAAGCTTCTCTCCATATCGACAGCCGCGTCTGTTCAACTGTTTCCTCGTAAGGAGGGAAGCACAACAGCAGAAGCCTTCGATACACACTCATCAGATTGACCGCGTCCGTCTGAGTCTCGGTCTCGACATGAATCACAGAGACCCGACGAGCGAGATTAGATTTAGCACGAGCCAGTCTATGAAATCAACTCATCTGGTGGCTGTATCTCCTCACTAAATCAGTTTACCTCACTGTCAAAACAAATTGGGAAAATGAGGTTGCTGATAGATGCCAGAGATTTCTTTTTTTCTGCAGCAGGCTGTGATCACATAGGACGCTTTCTTTGTATCCATTTCCCTGTTAGCGTATTCTTCAGCTGGACCGTGATTCAACTTAAACTGTGTCGCACTTTATGATCACCTGGTCAGTTGAGGGGTTTAACAAGTTTAACAAGCCAATGTTGTGCCACAGTTTGTTTCCCTTAAAGGAATCCTATCCCCTACGGCATCATCACGCTTATGTTTTACTGCTCTCAAACCACAAGTCACTGAGTCTGATTAAGAACAAGTCTGGCTTCACATTACTCTACTTATTTGTTAATCTAATTTCCACCAACATGATTTCATTGTTCAGTGGAAAAGATACAAGTAAAAAAAAAAAAAGAAGGTCTGATTGGCAGGGAAAGTAATTTATCAGAGAATGCAAATGTTGGCACAACAACTGAGATGAAAGTAAATCCTTGAAGCAGACGTCTTGTATCCACATTCTCTGCTTCCAGACTGGCATGTTGCCCTCCTGTTAGCGAGCAGAGCCAGCACCCGCTTCCTCTTGCCTGGTGTGAAGAAAGTCTGTGTAGCAAGAGGCAAGAAAGGGAATACGCTGAAGTAGTGCATTGACTTGACGTAATGTCCTTTACACGCAACAATCTAACGTAAGCTAACATTAACTAGCAGAAGCCACCATGAACTGACGGTCATACAGAACAAATAAGGTTATAGCAGCAAAAAAAAAAGTTGTTTTATTACAACTTTGGTCTTTTGTGGTCGTAGTTTTGTCCATCCCTTTTAATCAGTTATGCCAATGTTGTTCTTACAACAGCAACAGTAAGTTCAAGTTTTCTGAAATTATGTTTAAATAATTTGTTTAAATATGCAATGAGGCATGATCATATATGTGCTAATTTGTATACATTTCCAGAGCAGTAATTGGATGAAGCCTGGTTTAAACTTCTTATCTCATTTTGTTGACATAACAGAGTCAAAGGATTTTACTGAGAGAATTTTGGATATCTCTTTTTATCACTCCATAAATCAGAAACTACTGTCAACAGCCACAACAAAATCCGTTTTTGCCATATGTTTAGGAATAACATCTTATATAAATTAGGCTATGAATGATGTATGAACAAACCCCTCAGTAAAATCATTTCAGAATATAGATAGGAATGAAACTGGAAAAATCTCATTTGGAGAAAACAGCGTTGCTTCGTTTTGTATTCAAGCGGTCAGTCTGATCACAGCCTTTGATTTTTCTCTTTTTTTTTTGAATTGCCTGACTGTCAACCTAATGAGTGTGTATCTACCGCTAACAGCATGTACTACAAACCGCGCTCTACAAACGCACATGGGCTCTGTTATGGCCTTATGAGCAGAGCTCCTCAACCCGCTTTTCTCTCCCTTTTCAGAAGTGTCTTGTTAGAACCGGTGGAACACGGGGGCAATGCAATCCTTAAAAACACACTGATGACCGGACCGTGTGGGTCGGGACGATTGTACACTTAATGTAGAAAGCACACAGTGGGGTGGGATCCACAAAACCCTCTCTGAACGTTCGCCTTGCTCTCTCAGACTTGACGGTGTAAGGTACATTCAATGATGCAAAACGAGATTCCTGAAGCTCTCGAGAAGCTTCTCTTTGGACGGTAGATCCGACTGATCTCATTGGTGGGGAAGCAGTGTCTCGCATCGGACGAGGTGGTCCTAGAAAGCTGCTTTTGCTCCACAGCTGAGGTCACACATGATACTGAACAATAACAAATGAACTCCATTATATCCCTTTTATAAAGACCCAGATCCCTCACTACCCTGCTGGCTGAACAACGGCTCCAATCGCTCTGATGGCAACAGGGGACAAAACCAACTGTAGCACTGAAACACCTTTGAACCTCCCTCGCAACCCAAATGGAGGCCAAAGTTCAGCTTCAATGAAATTAAGCACAAAGAGAATATTGATACTAAACAGCACTGCTTCCGTTTGCAAATGATGCAGGAAGTACTGTAGGTCTGCAGATGACTCGGTCTCGGTTTGAACACAAAATGAGCAACCAGTGAAGGTTTATAAGCAGTTATTTGTGCCAGGAGGAGTTTAAATTGTTGTATCTGAATTTGAAGTAATTTCAAGCTCAACAGGTATGAAACCAGACTGGATTAAATCCAAGTTGATGCTTCAGTACAAACAACCTCAGAGATCAACCCCATGGTATAGAGTTGACGACATGAGAATGACCAGACATTCCTGCATGTTCGTTTTTCTCATGTGTGAACTCGCTCGCTTGTTCTAGAGCTTTTGATCTTAATCAGATGAGCTGTGCAAATAACTCTCACTTTATTTAAACGTGTGAATTCTGAGTGTTTAACTTATGCTCTATATAGTTCCTTCAAAAAACGTCAACAATGGGAAGAAATTGAACAAACCCAAAACACAATATAACGCATTTGAAAGAGATGAAATCAGGTTTGTGTTGCACTTGTCAGTGACGATCTGAAATTATTCAAATCTTTACGTGTATCTAATTAACAACTATAGAATAATCTAATGACTGTCTATTTATTAGGTTTGTAGGAAATGAGGGGACTGATTTTGGGCATAGTGATGTTTAAATTTGAGCTGATTGTGAGCACTTTTAGGACTTCTCGTCCATATTCATGATATATTATTAAGTTTGATGACGCTGAGCTCCTTAAATCCAGATCCAAATTCAAAACCTGGCACAAATATCTTCGCATTCATCTTCAACACAGTGATAGAATACTGACGCTGTTGCAGAGACTAGATGAGTTATTCAGCTGCTCGTATTTGATCCCAAATAGAAACGTTAGACACCCCTTTAGGGCGGTGAAGGGTTCTGGGTCTCGGCAGCACACAATGACAACACACCTGCATTCCATCCCTGCTGAGAAATACATATCATAAGGGAAACCAGAGCTGTTTCAGTTTTTCGTTTTAACGTGTTTGAATGTGTATAATGTCATGGAGTCTGTCAGAAGAATGATATGCAGTGTTAAGGAATACTTACTTCTATCTCAATGTAACATAGGAAATGCTCTCCCTTGGTTCTCTCTCTGTCCTGCTCTCCTGGTGAGAGATGAAGGGAGGCATCTCGGTGTTTTATTTTATTTTTTCTGTTTTTATTTTTGAATTTTTTTAAAGCTGGAAAACCTTCACAGCCGAAGAATGTCCACATCCACCCCGAAGCGCCCAGGACAGCCGCCAGGCGCCTGGCCGCGGCAGGGACCGTTATCTGCTCCTTAAATTCACAATGCTGAATTTCTCTTGTTCGTTTCTGTTGAATGTTGTACCGACGTAACTGTAATACTCTACTATCTAGCTCACTGCAGAGATGTTATATAAATGGTGTGTGCTTTGCATTCCAATTGGCAGCTCTGTGGAAAAGACGCTCTGTTATGTGTCCTTGGGAACATCAACTCACATCCAAGTGTAAAAAAGAAAAAGAAAAGGAGGAGGAGGAGGAGGAGGAGGAAACGCAACTTGGTTGGCGGATCTGAGCATCCAGGTCGGACTCCACACAACACACGAGTATATATAATTTGGGACAATGAGTCAGAGGAGCCCACGAACGGGAGAAATGGACGACCAAGTCACCTCAGCAGACGATATCGTCAGTATGTTCTGTTCCTGTTCCATGTCAAACAACAGAGCTGCTTGTGTTTCCCTCCTGGGCCACGGAGCCAATCAGCTGTCGTCAATCAATCAAACCCAATCAGTCGACAGCTGTTTGGTTAACAGGTCAACTCGTGAACTAGGGTTGGACCGATATGGGGTTTTAAGAAACTGATAGACATTTTTTTGGATTGAATCAGCTGATTTATTTTTGTGTCAATAATTGGTCAAAGGAAAAATTGATCTTCCGATACTCTTAAACAGTTTGACATCAGCCTGGGTGTTGAGTGCATGCAGGGCTTTCCCAAGAAAGGCTTTCAACAACACCCACACAACCTCCCTTCGCTGGGAATATCTCAAAGCTGCACTAATCAATATTTTTCTATGAACAAGGACAAACTATCAACAAACTCTGCAGTCCTATGGAGTCTCTTTTTAGCCTCTTTTAGTGCTTTGGGTTAGTTTTGAAGCAGAGCAACATAACAGTTTTAACCTAGTTTCCAACTGCAACCACCAGCTGTTTGCAATCTAAAAGCTCTGATACACCCACTGTACACTATACCTGGTCAGAGCTAAACGACAAACAGACAGAGTTAGCGATACGCTAACTAGCATCAGAGCTAAAAGAGAGTGACTTTTGCTTTACGTTTGTCAAAATGGCCAGAAACACGACTCAAAATGAATGCTTATGTTGCTTTGTGTGTGCTGGACGTGTAATATAGACGACTGTATGCTAACACGTTTACCGTAACGACCTCATGATGTGTCAATGTTGTGATCACATGCTTGTTCTGCTGCATCCAAGTGGCCAAACAAAAAAGTTACCGCAGCCTTAAAGTGTGGTTACATTGTTCACATTTTGGCAATTATATACAGGAATAAAATGATAAATCTATACAAAATTCAAAGTTGCTGCAAAATCTGAAATTTTATTGATGCTATGTTGGCAGAGCGGGAAAAGTGATAAAACTCCCCAATATTCTGACTTGGAAAATGTCAATGCATTATTAGAAGACGGTTAGCCTCCTTTGCTAACCTTGAAGACACAACATAGAAATCTAATTAGCAATTTTTAACATGTTACGAATCGACTGAATTATACTCAATATTGGATTTTATTCCAATGTAACCGTCACTTATTTGTTAACACTTATGTAATTATTTTCACCGCGTGTCAGAAATTTCCGATATTTGAGTAAGAGGCTGACTTAACTTTTTTTTTTTTCCACTCGGGATTTGCGGTCTGAACAACTTGAACTTGAGTGCAGTATTAGCTTACTTACTATCTTGCTTCTCAACTAATTAAAACACAAGAACATAGCATTACGGACGTGAAGACTCAGGCCCACATATCGGTTTAACCCTAGATAGAACAGCCAGACGACATGAACCTCAGTATCAATCATCCACCGTGGGTAGCTCTGTTGTTGTCCGTCCTGGAGGTGTTTCCTGGTAGGCATCACAAACTGTCCACAGTCGCCTTCTTCCCCCCCCCCCCATCGGTGTCAAGAGAACCTCACCACCAATCATAATGCAGTGTTGTATATTTGTGTTAATATGAAACATGATGGTCACGAGAGTGAAAGTCGACCTCACGAGTGGCTCTGAGGTTTGAGCCCAAGTCTGTTTCAGCTCTCCATTTTGAATATTGTCTTTGTTTGTACATTAACATATGCTTTTTATGTTCATATACTGTTAAACTTTACCATGAACTGTCCTGGCAAAGTAATAAAATATATTTATTTTAAAACACTGGTGTGTGCATCCATAATATAATGTACAACTAACTCATTAGAGAGAGAGAGAGAGAGAGATGCACCGTGATGTACAGTGAATGTGTAGTATTCACCGCAGCAATTAGTGCCAACTCATCCGTTCTGAATTGCTTTCAGAAGGATCGATTTAAGTTGAAATCAGAGTGGCTGCTGTGTGCTAAATTGTTCATTACAAAACAGTCAGAATAATGATGAATAAAAAGTGTTTTTGCTGTTCTTCAAGCCATACCAGTAGTGGAGCTTAAAATAAAGTTTGCCCCGGTGGTGCTGGAGGTAATTCCATTAACTGTCATTTCATTACTTGTGGAGCATGAATGTTTACAGAGCATATTCATATCTGCTCATTTTGGTTTCACAGCCTGCAACGAGCCTTACATAACCTCTACGTGTACTGCTGCTCAGTCATGAAAGAACCAGGCCGGCGAGAAACCCACGGATATTTCATTGTTTACTTTCAACTTCATGTTCAAAAAGTTACATCGTATTTTAACAGTTAAAATGTGCTAAAGCACAGCGTTCTAAACTTCTAAAAGCCGCTTCGGACAAATACAGAACATTTCAATGGGCAATAAAAAAAGAAACCTGTATATGTATAATAAAAAGTGTAAAACACCTACACAATAAAAATCATTGAACATCACCATTAATGAAAGGAAAATGACAGAGGAAATGTACAAAAGTCTGTGGGAACACAGAAGGGGAGGCGGAAACTTCCATACAAGCAGGAGTGTGTCTCAAAGTGTGTCTCAAAGTGTGTTGCTTCAGTCGAACATGTCGTCGTCGTCGTCTTCTTCTGCGTTGTCGGACTCGACGAAGTACTTCACCTCCTTCTTGGCCCGGCCCGGCCGGTCACGGGACGCGGCGCCCAACGCTCCGAGGCTTTCGTCATCCTCGTCGTCCGACGGCGGTTTCTGAGGTTTCTGCAATAAAAATAAATATTATAGTTACCATTCAGGATATTACTGCACTAAAACTCAGAACATACGTTGGCGTCTAAGATACATGGGGCTACATGTAGAGGAAGTAGAAGTAGCAATACAAAAATACTATATATGATAAGTATTATCAGTAAAGTACACTATAAGTATCAAAAGTAAATGTACTCTTAAATGCAGCAAAATGGCCCATGTGAGTGTATAAGAAACAGAGTCGGTCCCTCGGTCCCTGTAAACCTCTTTCCCATCACTGAGCAGCGGTTTATATATCTCACATGTCAAAACACAAACATCGCATCTAATAAACAAAAGAGTCAGATGGATACTCACTCTGGCGACCGGTTTTGCTGCTTTTTTCATTGGACTGTACTCATCTTCAGAGGCTGAGCCCTTCCTCTTCCTCCCTCTGCCTTTACCTGCAAGTCCACACAAAGGGACCGAAGCGTTCATCATCAGCTTAGAACATCGTATTCATGTATTTCTGTAGGGAAACACAGGATTTGTGCTGTACCTTTAAGAGCTGACGCTGGCTTCTTGGACCCGGTGTCGGAGTCAGAGTCCCAGATGGATTTATCTGGTTTCTTTGCCTTTGGTGCTGGTGGCTTCTTAGGTTTGGGAGCTGCATCAGAGGGCTTCTTAGCTGCTACACATCGCAGATTAAAACGCTGACATTACACACGGCTTACACATGGTGAGTCATCTACCGTTATGACTCATGTTTTACCACTATTATCATGCTTTGATGAGTTAAATCCACAACGTCCTCTCTTTCAATCCGTCTTAATGATGATCCTGTCTGCTGATGTGTTAGCTGTGGTGCTGCATTAGAGCTCCCTCTGTTGAACGCAGTGAGTCATTACCTTTCTTTGCTGGCGATAGTTTGTCGAACACAGAGCTGCTGGAGTAAGTGGAGAACACGGGGCCGACATCGTCGTCGCTGTTAGACTTGGACCCATCTACAAGACAAACACAGGCCAACGCTCACCTGCTGCTCACTCTGTACGATCACTCCTGCATGTAGAGGAGGGTACCCTTCAAATGAGCTTTGTGTTTGTTACATACTTCTTCAGGACTTGTTTTGTTTCTTACGCTACGGTTCTCTTTTTTATGATTGTGTCTTCTGTTCAGATGAGAACTTCTCACAGTACAGGATCTAACTGACCGAGAGCCAAAATGTCTTATTGATTACAGTGGTCAGAGCAATTTTCGAGTTTATTTTGTTCATCTATTCGACTACGTGGCTCAGTGGTAGAGCAGGGTCGTCCCTTCAATCAGAGGATCGGCGGTTCGATCCCCGGCTCCGCTGGTCCATGTCGACGTGGGTCCTTGGGCAAGACGCCCAATTGCTCCCGTAGCTGTGCCTACTTTGCATGAATGTTACTTTGGATCCTGATGAGCAGGAGGCCCCTTGCCATCAGGGTGTGAATGAGTGAATGATGACATGGAAGACTGAAGTACAGAAAAGCTAAACTAGTATCAAAAAACAATCACATGACCAAACCCTACGTCGCATCACATTTTAGAAAAATGACTGCAAATAGGTTTGACTGCACACCGACACCGAGCTGTTACTCACCGCTGTCATTGCTTTTTTCAGAGAAGGCGGACTTGGACGACGAGAAGATGCTGGGTGTCTCTTTCTTTTTAGCTGCAGGTGCAGCAGACCTTCAGAGAAGCAGAAACAGTGTACTCAGCATTTTCTCTGCTCGATATATTTTGGGCCTTTACGCCTTTATTGGATGGAAGATGGTAGAGACGGCTGACAGGAAATGAGGGGAGAGAAGGGATGGACATGCAACAAAGGTCTGTTTGAGACATTATGGTGAGGTGATAGTCGCCTCAGACAGCAGACAGCAGATGAGCTCCGGACTGTGGTTCAAAGCTTACGTGGTCGTTTGTTTGGGAGCCGAATAGGAGTCTTCTACGTCGTCGTCATCTTCGTCGTCGTTATTGTCGTTGTAGGGCTCCTTGGTCTCAGAGGAAGGAAAGTCGTCCTTCAATGACCTCACCGGAGAAGAAGCCACATCGTCGCCGCCGTTCTCCTCTTCGTCCGCTTCCTCCTCTTCCTCCGAGAAGTCAAACGTGTATTTTGGCTTGGAAGCTGAAAGACAAGAGCAGAGTCCGCGTCACGGTTTTAATCGTTATTGAGTGTTGCGGCTGCGTTGCATCAGACCCGAGACCTTCAGACACTTGGAGCAGACGGACGCTAATCAAACTGACGACACGTAGACCCGGGTCACAAGTTATTTTGGGCCGAATGAAGTGGGTGTAAATGAAATGTTAGCAGTCAGTCTGTCACCAGCTACCCGACGCTGAAGGAACAAAAAGACTTCGGTCTAAAAAGGTTTTAAAGATTTAGACTATAACAGCTGCCATAAAGTGGACAGTAGGTGGTGCTGGTGTCGCCAGTGAATATTCATACTACATTTAAAGACATTTGGCTCAAACTTACCTGATGCCCTCTGGGACTTGGTCTCTCTGGGGATGATGACGGGCTGACTGTCCTCCACGTCGCTGTCTGACTTGGAGTCGTCCTCAGACCAGGGGTTCCTCTTCTTCACCTTCTTAACGGCGGTGCCTTTGGGTGCTGGAGGTTTTCTCGCTCTGGGAGCTCCTGCAGCACAGTGAACACCATCATAAGACCGTTTGTTGACAGTCGGTATATTCTCACTCGGGGCTGAGGATCTCCTGCTTGTTCAATAATGGATTATGGTTTTTCTCACAGCACTATGAAGCATCAAAGAGGCCCAACACACAGTAAACTAGGAGAAAACCGCCGCGTCGTCTCTGGGTTCATCTGTCTGTCTGAGCTGATGAATCATTCATCTACTGATACAGAGAGGCCATCATTTCTGAAAGCCTCCATCTCAAAAACATTTGACCTTTTTAATTCAGAACTTTTTACATTTGGACAGAAATAGCAAAAGCTAAGAAAATTAAAATGAGAAAAATAAAATAGATGAATTTCAAATGTTTGACGGAATAGTTGAAGTTCAGTACTGACCGGGCTCCTTCTTCTCTCTCTTGACTCGCGGGGCTTTAGGTTTGGTTACAGCGTTTTCTCCCGTTGCTCCCTCACCGCCCAAACCGTCCTCCTCAAACTCCAACTTCAGCGCGGGATCTATGTCACTCTGAGGGAGAAAAACACAACCTGTAACCACCCCGGATCCCCGATGTCGCTCTTTCTATTTTGGCATTACATCGGCAGGTGTTACCTTCTTCTTTCTGGCTGACAGTTTCTTGGCTGCGTCGGATCGGATCGCCTGAGTTGGAGGCTCCACCCTGCGACCAAACGGTGAGGGCATGGTCTCCTCCAGGTTCAGCTTCTTCGCTTTAGGTTTGCCCACCTTCCCCTTCACCAGTTTGACGGCCTTTCCTAAACTCTGGTCCTCTCGCTCCTGGTGCTCCACTTTCTGGCAGACGGAACACAGCAAGTCTTCAGTTACATAACCTTCTAAATAACTATCAGATGAAAAGCCAGTCTTGAAATATTGGGCTATATTCAACATAATGAACGTATTCACAACACTATTCAAAACTTACATCCAGTTCCTCAATGAACACAGCCAAGTCCTCCTTCCACAGGTCCTCTGAAAGTTTCTTCTGGAGATCATTCAGCTCTGCTCTCTGCACGTTAAATAATGCATAACTTTGTAATGTATTTAGGGTGACTTTGTAACATCTGTCCAGGGACGACAGATGAAAAATAGCCTCTTGGCTAACTTTTACAGGAACATTTTATTAAGGTGCACTGTCCCACTGTCCCAGAGTTGGGTAATGCTGAATAAATACAATCAATGAATGTGTGAATGGTGATAAAAGATTTAAATATTTAAATGTTTGATACCTTGTGGTCCCTCTGTTTGAGCAGGTCATCCACCTTCTCTTTAGACAGGCACCACAGAGGCATGTTGAGGATGTAGTTGAAGTTTGGCCCTGACGAGGAGCCCGAGTCCACCGAGCCGTCGCTCTCATTTCCGTCACGGTAATCTTCTTCCTGAGCCTGTTGGAGAAAATAAATGATAAATATATATATATAT